TCCTAACCTTTTCCTAGGGTTATTTTATTTTTATAGCTTTTAAAATGGAATGCTCAGTTAATATTATTTGAGTTCATATTTGATAATAAGGGTATTTAAGGTTCTTATTATTGTTAATATCTAAATAATCTATAATCATTAGTTATTTTCTCATTGTCCCCAATACTTTATATTTAAAAAGCTGAGGTTTTTGATCTTTACATTCTTTTCTTTTTTTTTTTACTGTTGTAAAAATACATATAACACAACATTTGCCAATTTGATTTTTAAATTCTTAAGTTATCTATTTCTAGTTTTATTATATTGTGGCTAGAAGGTTTGCTTTTTTCAGTTTCTTTTTTTCTTAGCAACTTAAAAAATATTTTTTCACTAACTTAATAGATGTTCATGAATTTTTGCTAAAAAGATGTTATTATTTATCTGATGCAAAGTTTTATATAGCTTTTTAATTTATTAGTTTTATTAACTAAATTCTCTTTATCTTTATTTATTATTCTTTGACCTCCCAAAGACTGGAAGGTCATGATACAATTTCCTACTACAATTATGTTTCTGTAAATGTCTTCTTATGTTTCTAAAAACCTTTAGGTTTTTTTACTGCAATGTTGTTGGTGCCTCAGTTATTGACAAATATGTTGTCACTGTAAATTATATACTTTATTAGTGTAAAAATGACTGTTGTCTTAAATGCATCTTTATCCAATATTACAATGACACCAGCTTTCTTTTGTTCTTCTTTTTTCTGATATCTGTTTGCCACCTTTTTACTTTTAAATTTTTGTAGCACTTCATTTTACTTGTATCACTTATCAACATTATATACTTGGTTCTTATTTTTCTCCAATTTTAATAGCTTGTTGTTTTAGGTACAGTCGAGTTCCGACTTATAGCGACACCATGTACAACATAAACGAAACACTGCCCAGTCCTGCACCAGCCTCACAGTCATTGCTATTTAATAGTTTATCCCCTTTATATTTATTACAATTGATACAGATGGTCTTTTGTCTGCTTGTTTTGTGCTTTTTTTTTTTTTTTACTTTAGTGGTTTTTATTTTTGTTTTCCATTTTTTGCTCAATGGTCTATGTTTTTTGTGCTTAATTTCTCCATAGCTTTTGAAGATATACTATGTCTTATTTTAAATTCTGCTAGTGTTTGATTTTATATTTCTCCAAAGCATTATTTAACCTAAGTTTTTCATGTTTAAATCTTGGCACCTCTGGAATTTATGTTGATGTAAGGAATGAGGTAAGGCTTCACTTTTTATTTTCTTCCAGATGGTTATCTGGTTAATACACACTGTTTAAGTTAAGAAACGTTTGCATTTCTTTTACTAATTGAAAATGCCATCTTTACCATATGCCAAATTTTTGTTCTGTTTGTATCTGTTTCTGGTCTTTCTGTTTTGCTTCTTTCATCTGTCTAGATATGTGCCAGTACCATACTCTTTTGATTATTATGAATTTGTAATATGTTTTAGAACCATGTAGATTTTAATTCTACTGTTTCTTTCTGGTTTCCTTGAAACTGGACCTTTTCTTGCCAGTCTCCCTTTCTTTTAATCTCATCCAGCTGTATTTTGGGCTCTCCTTATGATTCTTTTAGCTCTATTTTCACAAGGGTACATCTTATTTTATTCTTTTGAGGATGCCAAACAGTTCCCTGAAATTTTCTTTCGGACACAGCAGTAATCACTTTCCCTTTCCTTGATTCTGCTAATTTTCATATAGGGTATTTTACTTCTTCTTTTCTTTCCTTTTTTGGTCATACAGGGTTTTTTACTTCTTTTTCTTTTCCTTATTTATTCCTGAGCAGAGAAAGATCTTTCCAGACTCATTTTGGCAGCAAACAGGTCGCCTTGGACCCACTCCTGATCCCCTCCTCAGATCTGTAGTTGGAAGGCTGATGCTCAGTTCCCAGGCCTGCTCCTGCTATTGCTCTTGTCCATCACGGTGGCATCTCTCAATCAGCTCTCTCCTTCTTTGCTAATTTGGACCAATGTAATATATGAAAGAAAAAAAAAAACCCTGCAAAACTAACAGTCCAAGCATGTAGTTTTCCAGGTTTTTCCTGCCTCTTTCCCCTGCCTGTAATGCTTTACTTATGCAGCCTGCACCTTCTAGAATACCTTCTGCCACTGCTAATCAGCTCTAAACATGCATTGACCCTCCCCTAAATCTCTTTTGCAGTCACCAGTAATGCGGGTACTTTCAGGAAAGGGGTGTACGTCAGGTTTTCTAATGTGTAGGAAATAGACTGCGTATTTTCTGATTTGTACAAGTTCTGGTCAGGGTACATATGGTGGGAGGGACTAAGCATCTTCCTACCTTTTCCATGCAGCCTCCCTTTATGAAGGAAAGGTGAGATGTCCCATGGGCGTAAGCCTGGGTAGGTTCTCACCATCCATCTCCATCTGCTTTATATTTACTCCTAGGTACTGGTAATAGTCTTCGTTTTCATTGTTGGGAGTTTTTCTGTGTCTTCATTTAAATGAAAAGTTGGGAGCAACTTCATGGGAGTGCTGTCAATCAGAGATCATTTGAACTGGAAGCTGTAATAAGGTGGTCGTGACAAGCACAAGAGCCAGATGATAACTAATGTTTATATTCTCCAGCTAGAGAAAACCACCCAGACCAAAAAACACCAACCCACAAGGTCATTACTCTGGGATGGATGGAAGCTTTGTTTCTCCTCATATAAGTGATATTTTGGTCATTGATTTGTTCACCACTTGGTCACAAAAAAGTAGAGGAAAGGGATTTAGAAAAGGTGGCTGTTTAGGGTAAAATAGAGGGAGAATAAGATAGTGAAGTAAAAAAAAAAAAAATTAGCTGATGAACTAAAAAAGTAGTGCTAAGAGAAAAAGCTTTCGGCATTATGAGTTTTTCACCTGTATCCTTCCTTGTTGTCTTTTATTTACATATTTTTGTTGTTGTCATTTTTTACTTATATCTCCTGAGAGCTTTCACTTTTTAAATGGCATTTTTAAAATATCATTGAATCTGAGATTTTTTCATTTTGAATTTGCCATCTGACTGTCACCCTAGCCGGCAGCATCAGTAAGTTCTAAGATTATTAAATATATATGTTTTAACTTTGTAATGATCAGGAAATTTGGTACCCCAATCACCAATGAATTTATAAACTTTTCCTAGCCTTCTAAGGAACCCTGGTGGCACAGCGGTTAAGTGCTTGTCTAACCGAAAGCTTGGTGGTTCAAACCCACCAGCCACTCCACAGGAGAAAGATGTGGCAGTCTACTTCCATAAAGAATCACCAAAAGAACCAAACCCATTGCTGTCAAGTGGATTCTCCTAGTGACCCTGCAAGACAGAGTAGAACTGCCCCATAGGATTTCCAAGGAGTGGTTGGTGGATTCCAGCTGCCGACCTTTTGGTTAGCAGCCAGATGCTTAACCATTGTGCAACCAGACTCCCCATAAAGATTACAGCCTTGGAAACCCTATGGGGCAGTTCTACTCTGTCCATGGGGTTGCTATGAGTTGGAATCAACTTGACTGCAATAATGTTACCCAGCATTTTGATTATCAAGACAGAGGAGACTTGGCTCCAATTCAGGAAACTTATTGCTTTAGGAACACTGTCTTAGTTATCTGGTGCTGCTATAACAGAAATACCACAAATGGGTGAAGGCTTTACGAATAGAAATTTATTTTCTCACAGTTTAGGAGGCTAGAAGTCTGAATTCAGGGTGCCGACTCTAAGGGAAGACTTTCTTTCTCTGTGGGCTCTGGGGGAAGGTCCTTGTTTCTTTGAGCTTCTGCTCCTGGGTGATCTTCATATGGCTTGTCATGTGTCTTCATCCATCTCTGCTTGTTTAATCTCTTTTATATCTCACAAGAGATTTACTCAAGACACACCCTATACTAATCCTGTTTAATTAACATAACAAAGACAACCCATTCCCAAACGGGATTATAACCACAGGCATAGAGGTTAGGATTTACAACACATATTTTTCGGGAACACATTTTAATCTATAACATTCCACCCTTTGGCACCCCAAAAATGCATGTCCTTGCCACATGCAAAACACATTCACCCTATCACATCATCCCAAAAATCTTAAATCAACTCCAAGTCTAAAATCTCATTTTCTGAATCATCTAAATCAAATATGGATGAGACTTTAGGCATATTCCATCCTGGGACAAATTCCTCTTCATCTCTGAACTTGTGAAATCTACACTACAGATTATCTATTTCCAAAGTACAATGGTAGAATAGGCATGTCTTAGTTATCTAGTGCTGCTATAACAGAAATACCACAAGTAGATGGCTTTAACAAAGAGAAATGTATTCTCTCACAGTCTAGGAGGCTAGAAGCCCAAATTCAGGGTGCCAGCTCCAAGAGAAGTGTCTTAGTCATCTAGTGCTGCTCTAACAGAAATACCACGAGTGGATGGCTTTAACAAAGAGAAATTTATTCTCTCATAGTCTAGTAGGCTACAAGTCCAAATTCAGGGCATCAGCTCCAGGAGAATGCTTTCTCTTTCGGCTCTGGAGGAAGGTCCATGTCATCAATCTTCCTTTGGTCTGGGAGCATCTCAGCACAGGAACCTCAGGTCCAAAGGACTCGCTTCTCTCTTTTATACCTCAAAAGAGATTGACTCAAGACACACCCTACACTAATCCTGTCTCTTTAACATAACAAAGGCAACCCATTCCCAAATGGGATTATAACCATCGGCATAAAAACCGAAAACCAAACCCATTGCCCTTGAGTTGATGCCGACTCATAGCGACCCTATAGGACAAAGGAGAACTGTCCCATCAGGTTTCCAAGGAGCAGCTGGTGGATTTGAACTGCAGACGTTTTAGTTAGCAGCCGAGCTCTTAACCACTGTGCCACCAGCACTCCAACCATAGGCATAGAGATTACAACACATATTTTTGGAGGACACAATTCAGTCCATAACAGAACACCCATTAGAGTCATGTGGCATTGTACTAATCAGTGTTCCTTTTTTTCTTTTTAGGCAATACTTCCCCAGATCAAAAGGAGCCAACACCTTTCATCATCGAGTGGATCCCAGATATTCTTCCCCAATCCAAGATTGGTGAGCTGCGGATCAAGTTTGAGTACGGTCACCACCGCAATGGGCATGTGGCAGAATACCAAGACCCCCGGACTCCCCTGGACCAGCCCTTGGAACTGGCCCCCCTGACCACCATCACTTTCCCTTGAGGCAAAACAGAAGCATCTTATGCTGCTAAATTTGCACATCCCCACCCCTTGACAACTTTAAATGCTCCTTAGGCACTTAGATAGCGCTGTTCCTTAGTAAACTGCTCTTCCTTAAGATGCAATTTCTGAAAGCATTCAGGTGGGTTCAGCTGAAGAAAAAATTTTGTAAGTAGCCTTTGTGGTGCTGCTGTGTACAGTCTTCATTATAAATTAGGCAGTATTTCTGCTAGAGTTTTAAAAGGAACAAGAGGAAAACCAGCTTACTTTCCCTCTTATGGACTCTTTTGACCTTTTTCTAATTCTCTTTCTAAGAAGTTAGCGGTACTAAACCTTACACCAACAATGCTGGAAACAGTGCTGGAAAGTTAATAATACCCTGGTTAGGGCAGAATGTTATGGACCATTCTGGCACAGTTACAGCATGCTCTTTATTTTGTTCTCAAATAAAGCACAGTGTCACTACTTTTTCCAGATCTCATGTTGACTTGTTTATAAAACTATAAACTTTCATGGGGGTTTTAGTTGATAATGAAATGGGAAGAAGAGACCCAGGTGTCAAGGGGATATTGACGTTTCAAACTAATGCTTATATAATTGTTTATTCACCTGACATTTAATTTGTTCCCCCTCTTGTCCCGAAAAAGTTTAACAGCTGGTAAAATTCAGTTCCTGTTTCTGAGTTCATTATTATGCACAGAATGGAGATACTGAAAGACAGAGAATTGGAAGCCTGTCTTCAAGGAGAAAAGAAGGAAAAGAATATTTCCTACACATCTACTGTGTGCCAGGCGCTTTCATTTACATTCTTGCTTACTCATTTTTCTTATGTAATCCTCATTATTCTTTTGAATTTAAGCATTACCCCGTCTTTTACAAAGTTAAAGAAATGGCCTCTCTGAGATTAGGTATGATGCTGGAGAAGGCATTAAAAATAATGTTTAGTTTTACTCCAAAGTACATGTGCTTTCCACTTTTTCACGCTGCTTTGATATAAATTTCTTATAATTCGTTGTCTTTGGGGAGACAAGAAAAGTCTGCATGAAGCAGGCTCTTAGTTTTCCTTCAGTTGCGAGTGATAGAAACCCAACTCAAACCAGTTTGGGCAAACATGGGAGTGAATGGCTGATTCATAGAATCCAAAGGAGGGTTGGACAGCCACACTGGGGCAGGGCTGGGGGGTAGCTAGTCCTCAGGACCCCGCAAGCCAGGGCCCACCTGACCATCTCTGCCTCTCTCTGGGGCCTCAGTTACTCGCAGCGCAGAGCAGCTCCTTCTCCTGGGAGGAATTCTGGCTCCTGAAGCTCCTGAACATACGGCTTCCACACTGGAGAAGGACTGACTTCATCCAAAAAGCAAAGTCCCTGAGAAGAGCTCTGATTGGCCTAACGTGGGACGATGGGCATTTTCAGTCGAAGTGGGAGCTGTGCCCCTAAAAGGGAGGGATTGGTAGCAAATGAACTGTTGTCTGCCCTGTATGATTGAGTGGCTAGCTTGTGTGGATAGCTCATAAGACCTTTAAACAGTGGCAAAATTATGGAGGAGAATCTGGGAAGGTTCATGGAGAAGGTAGAACTTGCACGGGGCTCTAAAGGAGAGAAAGGGTTTGGATAAGCATAGAGAAAAGGAGAAATTAAAACTAGGCAAGGCAGAGGGCCTGCCTGAAAAGCAAGAACACCCAAGGAAGGACAATGGTCAGCCCATTATGTGAAATCCTTCAACCTGAGAACTTTGAGGCCCTCAATCACAGCTTTCTGACCAAGACAAACCACTATGGACGGCAGGCAAATGTCTGATGTAGCAGTGCCTAACCATGATGCAGAGGAACCACAGAGGCCATGAAACACATGGCTGGGCAACAAATCCACCCAGAGGCCCCCACTCAAGCACTAAAGTCTTTGCCCAGGGCTACCCCAGCACACCATCACAGCCCATCACAACCTGGAATAGGGTTCAGAATTACACTGACCCTTTTTTCTAACTTGACACCCTCTATACCTAGGTCAAGCACATGCCTAGGAGAACCAGTAGGAACATTGCACCCACTCTCAGTTTCCTTACACCTCTGGGGAACCATCGGCATTGACCTCACTTCAGACCTACCCCATACCCAGAGGGTCCTAGAATCTCCCACCAGAACAACACTCTTCAAATCCTGCACTGACTGCCTCCCCCAAGTACACACTCCCATCTTGTACTGTCCATTGCACTCCCTCCCCATTAATCAAGGGACTCTTCCATCTCCATGGACTGCCTGGTGGCTGCCTCTCCATGCTGCAGCTACCATTTGTATCCTGGAAGACACAGCTCAAAATCATGTCCACACAGCCTCCCGTCTACTGCACAGGCTGATTGTCCTCATACTGAGTGGATTAATGGATCTGAGAGGGATGCCTTCTTAATTCCTCCTCCTGCAAGCCACAAAGCTTGGGCCCCTAACATCGTGGGCTCCATGAGAACAACCACTTGCTACTCCACCCAGAACATTTTTGTTGTAACCTACCGTGTCACTGCCTCTACCAGTACTGCTGTCATCTGAACAGATTGCTAGTATTTAGAGGAGTGATAGGCTACTCGAGGGCCTCCGGGAAATCTGACTCCAAGAACCACTCACCTAAGCAAAGGTCTGTAGGCCTGCCACCTGGCTCTCTCAAGGTACCAGATGCCACCAGCCCTGTGGCCTTCTGGGCCCAGCAACTCCCAGTCACATAAGTTCTCCCCACCTCTCACTGATCCTTGTAGTGTCTGTGCAGCCAATGCCTTATGCTTCCCTTCAGCCCACAGGTGCATACACACACGCACCGCATGCACTTCAGCCCCCAGCTCTGACCACCTATGATGGGCAACCTCTGCATGCCACCCGAGAGGCACTGTTCTCTCAGTACCTCAGCCAGCTCCTAGGGGCTGCCCCACCCCCCAGTTCTTTTAATGAACTGAACACTCTCAAGCATAAATCACAGCACAGAAAAGCCAGCCACAGGGAACAGCACCTGTGTCTACTATTTGTGAATTTTCCGAGGATTGATCTGCTTGCTCCCTCAACATAGTTTTCCTTCCTTTTACCTCTCAGATTCTGGTTTCCTGATTTTCCTCCTCTGCATCTCATGATATTTTTCTGACACTCCCTATTTGACTTTTAACCCTTTCATGGCCCGTGGTACATATAGCAACCACCTACATTTTTCACTTCTAGGGTTTATTGGGAAGCTGCTATTCCACCTATAGTGCATGCTGCTGCAAGGCGCAGACCTGAGTAACAGTTTGGAATGGAAGAAATGGGAGTATGCCACAAATTACTTTTTTTACAGGGTATTGTATGAGGTGGTGCTGAATCAATGTTTTTGGTATGAAACATGGATTTTGATAAAAAGTTCTTTGGGACATATACGACCCACTGAACTGTGAGGGGTAAAATCAGTGGCGCACCTATCTCCCTCTAGACTCTGAGTGTAGGCTGGTGGGATGAGGCAAGAAAAAAAATTCATAATACCTACCAAAATTCAAACACACTCAATGATTCAGTATGCATTCCATTAATGAAAACACCTGGTATCAACAAAAAATTCAACGCAGAAAATAGTTGGGTATTGAAAGAACAAGTCACCCTCCTTATCGACCTTAATCCCCTGATTCAGCACCACCTCATACAAAACTCGGTAAAAAAAGTAATTTGTGGTACACACCCATTTCTTCCATTTCATCCAACTCTGCAAGCTCCCTTCATATTGTTGTACCATCCCACCTGCCTCACCAAGGGAGCAGGCTGACTTGTTCTACAACAGTGCTTCTCAAACTTTAACGTGGATAGAAATCGCCCAGGGATCTAGTTAGAATACATATGCTGATTCAGAAGTTCTAGGGTGGAGCCTAAAATTCTGAATTTCTATCAAGCTCCCAGTGATGCAGAAAGTGTGGACTGCAGGGATGCTGCTGAACTGCAGACTGTGCCTTGAGTACCAAGGTCTAATGTCTGACCTACTACAGAACAGGCACGCAGACCTGTGACCTCCCTCCACACTTTCACTGCCAAATATAGGAGAGGGCTTTGCTGGAGGTTGGTGCCGACCAACACATAGCCAGGGCACTCAGATGTTTAAAGGCAGTTTGTTAGTGTGAGCTGCCCTCCTACCGGGCACTCTCCCACAAAGTTGCTCCACCTGATGGGGGCGCTAGCTTGTTCCTTGGAACCAGTTTCAACTCAACATTACAGAAGCAGAAAGCAGGTTCTGTAACCCTGTAAATTTCCTGCGTTTTTTTTCCTCCTCCTTAGCACCCGTTTTTCCACTGCCCTCCCCACTCTTTCCATCTTAAGACCTTAAGATTCGAAACGCCAACTCTGTTGTAACCTTGGGCAAGTTTTTCTCATCTGAGCTGATTTTCTCATCTGGATGATGTAACTGTTAAATAAGATACTGTGTTTATGTTGTTATTGTTGTTGTTAGGTGCTGTCCAGTGGTTGCGATTTGTAACGACCCAATGTACGACATAACGAAACAGTACCCAGTCCTGCACCATCCTCACTATAGTTGTTATGCTTCTGCCCATTGTTGCAGCCACTGTGTCAATCCATCTTGTTGAGGGTCTTCCTCTTTTTTGCTGACCCTCTTTGAGTTTATGGTGATGGAAAAATCGCACTGATTAAGGGTAAGAGTTGCACAGCCAATTAATGTAGTTGATGTTAATAAGTGTACACCTGTAAAAAGTAGAATTGGCAACAGACACTGTGTATCAAATGTTCATAAAATACTGTTATCCTTTCGCCTATTGTTTGAACGTCTCTCTTCCTCTTCTACCTTGTTTCTTACTGTTGAGGCTTAAAGGGTGCTTTCTGTCCATTCTTAGGAATCTTTGTACTTAAGAATACTAAGAATAGTAAGATCACACTTTTGCTTAACGCAAAACTGAAAGGTCGGAAATAAATATGATGAAAGGTTAAAGCTGTTTAGGGGTGCTGGTATTAATTTTATTCATATCTTTCCCTTTTTTCAAATTTTCTAGAATGAACAATATTACTTTGATCAGTTATAAAAAAGACAAAGTGTATAACCTTAAAAGAAGGGGCATGAAAACTAAGCTTCTGCAATCTCTACAGACAGTAGGAGGAAGAGAAAGAAAAAAGTGCTGAGACGCCACGGGGTGGAGACTGGTCACGCGGCAGCCACCCTCTCGCCTCTGCGAGCTGACGTTAGTCACGTTCTCCTCTTCCAGTCGGCTTGCTGGCTTTTCTTCCACAAGGCGGCGCCGCAGAACGTTCAGTTGCCGACGCCTCCTGCGCAGCTGCGCTAGGCCGTGGACAAGTCACCACCTTCGCGTCTTTTCTGGCGAGCGCGGGAATGCAAGGCCTGGAGGGTGGTGACGTCACCGGGGTTCCCCGCGTGGCTCGCGGGGGCGGGGCTGGAGACGTGGCGCAGGCTCCGGCCGGCGCGGGGGGAGGGGCTGTGGCGCCGAGCGCTGGCCCCGCCGGAGCTTAGCG